CAAAAAAGTACTCCAGAGTGTTGTTCAGCATGGGGGTGAGTAGAAAATGAAGGCTAATCATGTTTTGGGTGTACTATTCCTTTAAGAAGTAGATTAAGTTGAGCCCGCCACTACATGCCACGTACCTCTGGAAGAACTCTGACAGAACGCAATTATCTGGAGGAAAGAACTAATCATTAAACATTTACATCCTAAGTTTTATAATTTTGAGTTTCATACATATATTAATGTTTTAACAACTTTAACAAGTTTTTCTGTAGATTATTGAAAAAAAAAAATGCAACATTGAAGGTCATTTCATACAAACTTTAGAAGAAAGGGGGAAAAAAAATTGAAATTTCTACAGATGCCTTCAGGAAAAAAAAAAAATTGATGAAAACGTTCCAATTTCTGGGCCTCAAAGTAAAATATGAACCATTATTCATATTAATCTCTTTGCTAATTCAGGTTCTGAACCTTTCTGTGTGACAGATTTAGGTTTTTAAACAAACCTTTTTCAGATAAAGAGCCGATTATATTTTCTACCCCTTTAGAGTCTGATTTATGGAAAAAAAAAACTGGTTACAAGCTTGTATAAAAATATTGACACTGAGGGAAAAAAAAAAAAGAAAGATCCTGAAATGATGAAAGTTTTCATCTTTAAACGATCCCTGGTCAGACCAGCATACCCATAGTCAATACCAGTTTATCTCTTTAGTTTTGTATGAAAAATAAACTTTAAACTACCTGTACAGGTGTTTCTCTTTAGTTATGTACAAAAAAAGGATTTAATGACTTACTTTTATGCGATCTGACCCGATTTAAGGGATAAATGCGCATCAAGGTAGATTAAAGTAAAATTTTTTGTACAAAACTAAACGGATAAACACAAATCTGACGTCTTGCACATGCGTATTGACTATAGGTATGGTTCCTGAAGAACCCGTCTTTAAAGAGTCACTGAGAGCCGATGTGTCCACAGTCCTGGACGCTCCTCGGTTTGTCCCCCTTCGGAGCGGGAACAGACAGGAAGTGAGAAAAGACAGCAGGACCAGGCTGGCAGGCTGATTGGGAACTGATAAAACTTTATTTCACTTTAAATCATCTTTTACAATTTGTCCCGTTTATAACATGTACGGTGAAACTAGAGCTGGATTTTTCTTTGAAAAGACAAACAAATCTTCCATGTCAGAACCAGAGTGAAGGAAGCCATTTTTTATTTGCTTTTAAACATTTTGGTGTTTTTTTCTTATTTTATTTTTATTTGTGTATTTAAAGCTAAACCTAAAAGTTTCACAACCACGTGCAGCGAAGCAAGAAGAACCGTCACAGAAGCACTTTTGTTGTTGTTTTTTTGGGTTGATTTTTGTTTTATTTTAAGCAGAATACTGGTCAGTAAAAACAAAATGATTCCAGATACCAGATATACAGACAGGCTTGGTGCCACATTCACTACTGCAGGGGATCCGATTTTTCCTTAGAAAGCCAAGAAGAAGAACTGTGTTTGTTCAGCTAAAGAAAAAAAAAGAAAAAAAGAAAAAAAGAGCAGCAGGGAGGATGAGTTTTTTTTTTTTGTTTAATCTTTTTCTACTTTTTAAATGTCAGTGCATGAAAATATTTATCCCCAGGAAACGAAAAGTCCCTTCTACATCTAAAGTGGAATGTCATGTTTAAGACAAGGTTATTGTGACACTGAGCGGGAAAGAGCTGCATGGATTTTAGCCGTTTCGGCGCGTCGTCGGTGGGGTGTTGAGTCGAACAAAGACGGTTTTACTACGTTCAATTGGATTTTTTTATTTTTAGTTTTTCGGCGCAGCTCTAAACAAGCCTCGACTGATCTGCACATTTTTCTAAAAAACCATAATCCAAACTACAGGTTCTCATTTCCTCGATTGGCTGATCGGCTGTGATTTGGCTCCTTAAATGTACGGACCTGTGGAGGCTTCCGCTGCGCCGACTGAGCCGCCTTTGTTCCAGAGGAGGAGGAAAGGTTTTTAATCATAGCCTCCGTCTGAGCGACTAAAATAGAAGCCGAACGCTGCGGCTGCACACGAGCGGCAACACAAGATCTGCCTCAACCTGCCTTCCAGGGCAGAAGCAGGTGGGGGAGGGGGGGTAAAAAACAGCAGCTGACTGTAACGGCTTCAGGGGGGGGGTTCTCAAAAAACAAAAAAAAAAGAAAAAGTTTACAGTTACGCTTTAAACATGTTTTACAATTTTACAGTTTTCAGAAACAGAACGAACTGATTGGTTACAGAATCAAATACACCCAGGAAAAAAAAAATAAATCAACCAAGAAGAGCGAAAGAGGCGGTGGGCGGCAGGGAGCGGCCAGCGGGGCCTGGAGCGCCCCCCACTGGCCTCCCAGTTCAAAACAAGTGAGGAGTCAAATGGGTCCCGGTTGGGAAAAACCTAAAAACACCCAGCAGGTTGTTTATTTAGTCAGTGTCACAATACGGCCTTGAATGGAGGAGCCTTCTGTATGAACCCCAGCAGAAACCCCCCCCCCCCCACCCCACCCCGCCCCCCCGTGGGTCTGGAGGACAAACGGAGCATCACAGCGTTGGTTGAAAATAAACGGACAGTTTAATAACCTTTGTTTGTTTAAAGTGGAATAAAACCAGCCATGTTTGCCAGAACACTATGAAAGCCGAACAGAGGAGGAACGGACGACTAGAGAAACGCTTTAACTAGGACAGGGGCGGGTGGGGGGGGATTAACCAGGAAGGGAGAAACGGGAAAACGCAGGATGATTTGGGAGCAAACCTCGTCTGCGTGCTAGATGAGGTTTCAGACCGCCGGGGCGCGCTGGAGTGCCATGATGGAAAGGGGGGGGGGATCCCTCAGTAAGGTGGGGGTCGGGTGCTATTCATGCTGTTGGTTATACAGAAGGGAGGTCAGGCTGGGCTGGGAGCGATGGACGAGGGAATGAACGCCGCGTAGGTACCGAGAGAGGAAGAGGAGGAGGAGGAAGAGTGTGTGTGTGGGGGGGGGTTAACAGTGAAGAGCGCTCTAGTTTTCTCCATCGCCGGCTTCACCCTCGTCTCCCTGGTTTTCTGATGTCCACAGCTGCAAAGCAAAGAGCCTTTCATTAGGCGATTCACTGAATCGTTCAAAAAGGGAAAATTCTCACTATTAGAATTCTAAAATGATTTCACTGCTGGACTTTAACCTGAGCCCCACCCCCGCCTGTTTCTGCTGCTATACTTACAGTCAGGTTGTCCCTTAGTAGCTGCATGATCAGCGTGCTGTCTTTGTAGGAGTCCTCGTTCAAGGTGTCGAGCTCAGCGATCGCCTCATCGAAGGCCTGCGGGGAGAAGCAGGTCAGCGTTAGTCTGGGCTCCGCCTCCGTCTAAGGGCTCCCGCTGCGGCGGCAGGACTCACCTGCTTGGCCAGAGAGCAGGCCTGCTCGGGCGAGTTGAGGATTTCGTAGTAGAAGACGGAGAAGTTGAGGGCCAGGCCCAGCCGGATGGGGTGCGTGGGCTGCATGTCCTTCTTGCTGATGTCGAAGGCGTCCTGGTAGGCCTTCTGAGAGTTATCCACCGTTTCTTTAACAGAACACAGAAAGGCCAGCGGTCAAACAGCCAGAAACGTTTTAACTGAACGCCGTTAACCGCGCGCTCACACAGGAGCCGTCTGTTGCTCCTGGGTCGGAAGGACGGAACGTGGATCAGATTCTGCCAATCAGAGGAAGCCGTCTGAGGCGTCCAATTAACGCCGCCACACACTAAAGACGCCATGAGCCAGAGAGGATGAATAATAAAGACTTTCTGCCACAATTTACAGGAAAACATTCATCTTTGGAAACAGGAAACGGTTCAAACTTTGAGGCTGAATTTGATCTGATCCACTTCAAATTTTTTTTTTTTTATGGGAAAGTTCATCTAACATTTAAGAATTTTTTTCCTAATGTTTAATTTTTTTTATGCATTAATTTTGCTCTGAAAGGACCTTTTTTTGTTTAATCCAATAGAAATGAGTCTACTCTGCGTGGACCTTAGCAACAGCGTTCCTATTGGTCCGAGTAGAGGGAGAAATCTGAAAAGAATTTTTAATCCAGAAAACTTCGTCGCACGCAAAAAAAGGGAGAAAATAAAACTATAAATTTAGATTATAAACAACTGAATGTTTAAGTTTATTCTAAAAACATCTTTCTTCGAATATGAAGCATTTTCTTGATGTTGGAACGAACAACGAGCGACGTTTGGATACTAAAAACCAGAAGCAGTTTCAGCAGGAGGGCGGCGCCAGCGAGCGGAAGGAGCCAGACCCAGAAAGCGCTTCCTGGCGGATCCTCACCCTTCTTGGACTCCCCAGAGGCCACCTCTGACAGGTATCTGAAGTAGTCTCCTTTCATTTTGAGGTAGAACACCTTGCTCTCTGCCTGAGATGCGTTGAGGATGAGGAATTTGTCGAGAAGGTTCTGGAACAAACAGAAGAGAAACAGAACATCAGAATCCATCCCAGATCAGCAGAAAATAAACACTGATTAGCCATCGACACTCTTAATTCTGATTTGGGATAATCCTCGCCTATTCTCATCCCCAAATGGAAAATAACTGATCAACTGTACGCCCAAATTCCATGTGTGAACATCCTTTGAAAGCTGACACCTTCTAGTTTATAAATATAAATAAAATAATGCGACTAAAACAGCATAAACTGCATCAGTTCAAACACGACTCAAAGTTTTTTTCTTTTTAAAAACAATAGATCTTTTTTTTTACCCCATTGCTTGAGAATAGGCATTTATCATTGTGTTACATTTGTTCTACATCATGTCAACCACAAAAGCAGCACATTTCACACCTCTACCTACAACGGGTCCAGAGCTGTGGGGCTTTGAACCTTTGGTGTCAGCGGCTCCAAATTCTGCCATTTAACCCACAGAATAACACTGAAGCTTTTTGATGGCCACAAAGCATGCTTAGTGTGAGGGATTGCTGAAGAGTCAATGAGTCGATGCAATCAGCTGGTTTTCCTTAGATAGAAAACTTTGAATCAATCTGGTGAACTGGAAAGTGACCTGAGATGAACTATGTTGTGAATTGGAGCTATAGAAATAAACTGAATTGAATTTATATAAAAATATATAAATTTAATTTCCTTGTAATCGTTATAAATCGATCTAAAAAAACAATCCTTAGTTTGAACGTCTTGATACTGGATTTCTGCACATTTTAAATCTCCATGCTCAGTAGAAGTGAAGTCGCCTCCCTGTTTTGTGTGCTTGGAGGCGGTGAGGAAAAGTTAATCATGATTTACTGGTTAAAACAATCCCAGCATCGGCTGGATGGGAGAAATGAGATCATTTAAGCTCAGCTGCTTAAATTAAAGGGCGACTGATGTCATCGAGCTGCAGGAGCCTGAGGAGGACATCGGAGGAACAGAAAATCCTGCTTTTCCAGGAATCAGATCCTGCCAGAGTCCAAAACTGTTCCGGTTTCTGGGGCTTTGATGCTCCAGTTAGAACAGGAACCATCAGCTGTCTGCTAGCACGGTGAAGGCTCCTCCTCCTCCTCCTCCTCCTCAGCCTCGTTCCTCTCCTCCCTCCGCTCCTGCAGCGCTGCATCCTTTGACCTTGAGGATATTATTAGCCGTCTGCTCTGAAATACTTCTGTCTTTTTTGACCTTCAGCAGATTCTGCTCTCTGGATGCGAAGCAGAGGACGGTTCCTCCGAGGGTCCCGGCCCTCAAAGCTCAGCAGGTGACCGTTAACCCCGTGATGCCTGCATTCTTAGAGGGAACAGGTCCGTTTTTCACACTGCAGACAGAGTTGGTCTCTAATTTAGAGGGAAGGCTGATCCAAGCAGAGCCATGATGACTATTTTAGAGACAAACGAATTAAATCAAACCCGTTTTTTTTTAAATATTAACATCTTTATCTTTATCTGAGGCTTTCTTTGCAAGTTCAAAAATCATTTTCATTATTAAAGCATTTAAATACACAAAGGTTAATATATGAAAATACAATTTTCTAATAAAATACGGTTTCTGTTTAAAAGAGAAAAATCTCAATGATCTATTTAAAATAA